ATAAAAAAACATGATTATTCATACCTTATTGTCACCATGGCATGCATGCAAGGGAGTAGATCGATTTGGAACTCACTACATGAACACGTCTTGGTGGATAAGTTGATGACTGTGTCCTTAGTCCTACCTATAACTTTAAACTCCACCCGATCGATTGGTTGTATAGAAAAGTGACAAGTTTCATTGAACCGTGTGTTCAATAGATTGGTAGCCTAAGGGTTAAGGGGCATGGTCAAATTCAATGCCTCATTGTGTTGGTCATGGAACTAACATTGGAACATGCCTCTGATGCACTCGATCAAGACGGTTATTTGCATTTTCCTTGCACACCTCAAGCAAGAGTTAATACACTTTGCAATGTTGGATGTCATTAGCTTGTATCGCCTTACTAATGACCGTGCACGTGCCCATCTCTTAGGGCCTAATCTCATAAGCTGGTCATAAGCAAAGCTATTTCAGCTTATTCATATGTTTGTTAAAATTGGCAAGCCTAGAACAGTTGGTGACCAAGGTGAAAATTGCAGCAACATCTTCGTGCTTGAACATGTTTTTAAAATTTTTCCCTAAGTGGTAATTGCATAAACCATGATGCGCGTTCTTGTACACTTTCTCAACTGCATTCTTAATGCCAAAATGCTAATCAGAAATGAACATTGCATTTTCAAGACAATCAATTGCATGACATAATTGGTAAAGAAACCATGAACAAGACTCTTCGTCCTCCACGTGGCCAATGCCAATTGCAACTGGATATATTTACTCATTCACATCTTTGCATACAGTAACAAACAAAATACCCTTGAATCTACCTTTAAGATGTGTGGCATCAATAGCAACTATTGGCTGCATTACAGTATTGAACCCTCGGATACATGACCCTAATGCCCAAAAACACTATTTGAATCGTTGTTCGCCATCCGTAGCGACACTCATGATAGTACCGATATTTTCACGTTCCAACATATGGAAATATGAGGGGAGGAGTTGGAATAACTCTTCCAAAGGACCGAACACAATACTTTTTACATACTCATTCGCTTGTCAGGCCTTATCATATAGGCATTGCAATCCCCACTTGCGATTCATCTCTTCCATTATTTCCTTAAGTCTCAATGGGGTTACATAATTTCCTTACACCCTGATAAGATAAGCTCACCAATTAACCTCGCGCTCGTAGTTCAGTACCCACATTGTAAACCATCAACAATATACGAGTGTACCTTTTGCATTGTCTAAAGTTGCCAATATTCTCCCTCAAGCAACTTTGTTGCACGCAAAGCAAACTTGCATGCATTCTCCTTACAACCAAACTCAAAAAAAGTATGACATGACTTTTCAACTTTAATCTTAAAATGCTCTTTTAGTGCCAACATACTCAAAGCTCGTTTCAATTTTCCCTTAGATGGAAACACTTTTTTGCGATATAAGTGGTTGTCCATTGATCTGGATTGCTCGCTTTCAACTATTTGGAAGGATATCATACCTACCCCAGGAATAATCCATTGACGAAATACTCCTGTATTTATCTTCTCTTGATCACTGTCATCAGGCGAATGAATGTCATTCTCAAGTGCGATGGTGTTGTCGTAAATAGGGTTAGGACCCTCAACATCTTTTAATTCAACAATTGTGGCATGGTCGTTGAACTGAACCTCTTCTAACACAATAGTTGTGGCATGTCCTGTACTGCCATCTACATAATTACAATTTTGAATGTCGGTGTGCTCACCTCTGTCGTCCTCTAAACAGTCATCATGTCTACCAATGTAATCATCTTCACAGTCATCATGCAACTCATCATTCCAATCTGTCGTGTCGTTCTCTTCAACATTATCTTCAATCTGATCAGATACATCGTCATCACTCACAACCATCACACTGTCATTTGTGAATGACAAAGACCCACTGTATTTTTGAGTAGTAGTTGCGTTTGTTGCAAAGTACCAAGTATTTTGTTCGATGCAGATTTCGATCGAAATTGTGCAGACATCATTTGTAGACACCTCATGTGTGTACCGGGCTACTCAAACTCATAAGGATACGTCAAACATGATTACCATGGTTGTTTGTTAAGAAACGCATGGTGTGCTATGTTAGAATAATTAACATTCTATTGTAAGGGATTACTATGTTAGATACCATGTTCATATGGAATATCATTTGCATTTTGTGCCTTAACTGTTACAAACACAACAACTGCCCTCTCATCTCACAGAATACTTGCTGCATCTTTATCATCTCCGATAACTGTGTGTGAAACCCCTACAGCATGACTAAGCAATGCATGTAGCTCGATTTCATTATTTTGTGAGTTGACCCCAACAACATTTTCAACCAACTTCACTAGGCCCGAAAATGATAAATTACTCTCAACATCCCTCATTTGTGTCTCACCACCTTTGTAAGTGTCATCAAGCTAATGACCATTGTATGTAATCATAAGCTTCACATTTGGCAGGTTGTTGAAAATTAACAGAAAATAAGCATCACAATCAATCAATTTATCAAAAATTGCTCTCAATGCATAAAAACCACTTACGTAATACCTAAGTCATATTTGGCAGGCTGTTAAAATTTAACAGAAAATAAGTATCACAATTTCTAATACACATTCATGCAATGCCTCAAAACTAGTGAATAAAAGCCTCAAAACAGGAGATTCGAACCCCACTCTTTAGACATGGGGATAATGACTGAGTAGGTCAATCTCGTTAACAAGAAGGTAAAGATCGAAGAAGTGATGTGAAGCAATGATTAAACTTAGATGCGGATCTTGGTGTGTTGTTTGCTCAATCTTTTAATAAAAACGATTCAAAAGATGAATTGCAAAGTCACGCGCCACCAGTCTCATAATACCTAATAATAAGTCACTCAATGCATAATATCCACTCGCATTATACCAACATAACCAATCACGTAATGGCCTAATGTCACGTAATACATAAAAATCGGTCACGTTATGCTTACAAACTAGTCAACAAAAGCCTCAAAATAAGAGATAAATTACACAAGGTATGCACCTCCAGTCTTGCAATACCTAATAATAAGTCACTCGATGCATAATATCTACTCACATTATGCCAACATAACTAGTCATGTAATGGCCCAATGTCACGAAATACATAACAACAGGTCAAGCAATACATAAAAATTAGTCATGTAATACCTACAAACTAGTGAACAAAAGCCTCAAAACAAGACAAGAATTGCACAAGTCACGCATCTCCAGTCTCGCAATACCTAATAATAAGTCACTCGATGCTTAAGATCCACTCACGTTATGCCAACATAACCAGTCACGTACTGACCCAATGTCAAGCAATACATAACAACAAGTCACCATATACATACAAACCAGTCACGTAATGTCTCAACAGAAGAAATGCATTACACAATTCACACAGCGCCTATAACCCAGTCTCGTAATCTTAATAATAGGTCAAGCAATGCCTAACATCCACTTACATTTGCTTCTCGTATATAAATAGAAAATTAAGAAACTAGGGTAAATAACCAAGTTATTCAGCATAATATAAATTAAACCAAGAAAATATGTGATAGATGAAAATTTTTATTTTATTCATTAGTCGAAATAAAAAGAGGATGATAAAAAAAATGAGTTGTAGTTCATTTCTTCCTAATTTCATCTACTATTTCATAAATTTTGGCCAGAATATTGTTATTGCCTAGGATTTCTATCTCCAGGACTTCTGTCATAATCAGCAAGTTATCCATCAGGCACGTATCTTTTTCTCCATCTTCTCGACTTGGTCCATCAGGGCACACAAGTCGAGGACATCCTCTTTAGCAGCCACCCTCTTCCCAATGTCGACTCTAGAACATTTGGATGCCATTGGACTTTTGAAATTTTTCTTTAGATTATTTTGATTAAAATGGATAATGGTTCCCTTTATTTATAGGCATAAATGCTGACTCTTCGTTTTCTACACCGATATAAGTATAATTAAGGGGGTTGAATTGATTATTAAGCATTTGTAATTCTCTTCTAATTTTACAAAATTTGTTATTAAGAGGCTGAATCAGTAGATAATCACCTTCAGCATTAGGTAGATAAAGTCAAACAATGCCTACAAATAAGTCACATAATACCTACAAACAAGTCACGTAATGCTCAACAAATATTCAGTCACGTAATACATATAATCAAGTCACGCAATGCTCAACAAATATTCAGTCACGTAATACATACAAATAAGTCACGCAATGCTTAACAAATATTCAGTCTTGTAATACCAAATAAATAGGTTATGATTCGGTAACGCAATGCCTAACAAATATTCACGCATCGCCTATAAACTGATTGATTTCTCTACTCCCAGTCAAATTTAAGTTTTCAAACTCATATAATTTACCCATCAACTTTTGCATTCTACGAATATAAAAAAATAAACCCAAGAACCCATAACAAATACCTTGATGTCATTTCTACACATTAGGATTGTGAGAAAATTAGATGACGATATAGACCTCAATGGCGTTGGAGAGCTGGACTAAGAGATAGCTAAATCGAGATTTAATTTTAAAATTTTTATCTGAAAGGTAGGAAAGGAAAAAGAAACCGGGACCACTCAATTTAGATTAAATGATTTAAAAGATATTATTATGAAGTTTTATTAAAAATTATCTAAAAATAGTTAAAATTATAATAAAGATAATTTTTTAAGTAACTTTATTACTAAAGTCATTTCTTACAATTTTTTCATTTTGTTAATTTAGAATTCAACTTATTATTTCTTTCATTTCAGTTTTTGTTAAATGTGTGGCAGGTAACCGTTAATCTCATTAGCAATCATTTAACCAAAGATGTTTTGCCAACCACATACTACAAAATAGGTCCCACGCGCCAACGTTTCCAGGAAGGAACCAAACAATTGATAGTCAACACATTCGACGGTAGGACTGGCCCCTCACTTTTGAGCCTTACCCACCCATTTATTATTATTGACAGACTCCAATCCCTACTGAAGCAAAGTATCAAAACGTCTTTTTCCCCCTCAGCTGCATGTATCTTTAGCCTACCAAATCGTAACCGTCCCGCCAGTAGGTTTCTTTTCAAAGCCTCTCCCTCTCTCTTTCCTCCAGTGCTTCGTATTTCTAGTTTTCCACGAACAACGATTAGTGCAAGTAGAGAAGATTGTTGGGTCATTTCTGGTTTCCATTCACTAGTTTCTCTATTCTTGGGAAGAATCTAAAAGTATTTCCAGGGAAAATATCAATACATACGACTACTAAGTATGATATTATACGGTAAGTTTGCTTTTGCTTTGATTTAACCTTTTTGGCTTTCTTGTCTTTGTTTGTGACGTATCTTCCTTTTTTGCTTTGAAGTTGGAGGATAGATTCTGTTGCTTTAATTTCTTTCTTCTCTAAATACATGCCAGTCTTCCCTTTTGGTAATTCTGAAATGCGTACTCTTTTTTCCAGGGATCTGTTTGTGTTGTTAGCCGTTCAATATTGAGTTCACGTAAATTTCTGAGTTTGTGTTTTCACTCATGGCTTGGAGCAAACTGGGATCGCTTTTCTCTTTTCTGAATTTCCAGCGTATATTGCAGGTTCACTTCTTTACTATTTTCACCACTGCTTGGAAAGGCCTTTTTCTTTCTTAATTATTACAAGCAATTATTATATATAACTGCCGACACCAGAATTGTCAGGATCATTCAGTTAATTTTGTAAATTGATTAGAGAAACATGCAAACTTGAGTAAGAATGATGATTAGTTAAGGCATATCCTGACTGGTAATACCTTTTCTTTCCTTCTTTCTTTCTTTCTTCTGGAGAAAATACTGCTCAAACTTAAATCCTAGCTTGCTTCAAAAACGTTGAAATTAATGTTATGAGGTTTCTCTGTCCTGAATGATGTAGATGCTGGACCATAAACATTAAGTCATACGACCGACCAGGTCTGTGCTTGAGGCAGGAAAAGGTCTAAGAAACTAAGACCTTTCAATTGCCTCCAGTCTAGATTTTAGAATATGGGTCTTGTTTGGCGGTTTCAGATTATAATTATGTGGGTTTATCAATATCAACGTAGCACAAAAAGGGGTAAAAGGCTCCTCTAAGTTTTTATGTTTCGCCACTGGAAACTGAGCGGCCTTGGTATTAGTGAGATCATATCAGGCAGCCATTGCATCCCCAGCTGGCAATTGGTAATTAACTTCATAATAACGATTAAAAGTGAAGGTATATTTACCAAAAAATGGAAGTGAAAGTAAGAAAATGTTTACCTCAAGTTGAAACTTGTTAATCTTATATTTTGATTAATCTTGTTTTGCATCGCCAGCAACGGCGACAAGAACGGCAGCAACAGCCACAGTCAGAGAGAATAAGGGAGGTTCAGATTGGTAGACACCCTATCAAAACACATGGAGCCAAAGTCGCAAGGGATCACTTGCATGATTGGCTAATATTGATGCTTCTTGTAGTAATAGAGGTTGTTCTATTTATAATCCATCCATTTTACCGCTTCGTTGGAAAGGATATGATGACCGACCTCAAGTATCCCATGAAACAAAACACGGTGCCGGTGTGGGCTGTCCCTGTAAGTTACTAATAATATGTTTCTTGTCTACTGATGTACTTCCTTCATGACCAGGTATGGGGTGATGAGTACTCCATGGTTCTTCCCTTGCTTAATTACAACATGTCCAAGAATAAAAATTTCTGTCCCCAGATGAAGAGCGAACAGGAGCCAGTCATTATATTATTTGTATTTCATTTTAATCTTTTAGATACCATGTTGCCGTTTTGCTTTGTAAAGATATGAACAGGATTCGTTTTCTTCTGTTTCATCAGATGTATTCCATTTTATTACCAATCTGTGTATTCCTTGTCGTCTATTATCGTAGGAGAGATGTCTATGATCTGCACCACAGCGTCTTAGGTAACTATGTTTTGCAGTCAGAATAGCTTAATACCAAATATATCCAACCTAATGGAAACACTGGTGAATATTTATCTAATGTCTTCTCTTCGTGTTCGAGGGCAGGCCTCTTGTTTGCTGTGCTGATTACAGCTGTTGTCACCGATGCAATAAAAGTTGCTGTTGGTCGGCCACGGCCAGACTTTTTCTGGCGTTGCTTTCCTGACGGGAAGGATGTGAGTACTGTTCTTCTCGACTACATCCTCAACTGCAAATTAATCGTTTACTATATGGCATTTTCCGAGTTTTATAAGTCTCACTCTCACCTGAAATGAAAAGTTGCGAAAAGGTCATATGCTAATTGTGCAATGTTTCCCTTAGAATTATGATCAATGGGGTAATGTTATCTGTCATGGCAACAAAGCAGACATAAAGGAAGGACATAAGAGCTTCCCAAGCGGCCATGCATCATGTAAGCAGTGCTCCCTGCTCTCTTGTTTGTGCTACACATTGAGGATTCGTTCGTATACTGAGCTGCATTAGCATAATATTTCAGTTATATTACTTTGTAAATATTGGAAACGCCAAATGCCAAAGTTGTTTGATACAGTTTTGGTTTGGTTTGGTTTGCTGTGCAGGGTCTTTTGCAGGCTTAGGTTATCTCTCACTGTATTTATCTGGAAAAATCAAGGCATTTAATCGCGAAGGGCATATAGCCAGACTCTGCATCATTTTTCTTCCTCTGCTTGCGGCATCTCTTGTTGCCATTTCTCGAGTTGATGACTATTGGCACCATTGGAACGATGTGTTTGCTGGTGGCCTTCTAGGTATGTTTTTGCATATATTTAGGGGGATAAGGCTAATTTTTGAACCTAGTTCATTTGAATTGGTTTAATTGTTACAGGCCTTGTGGTGGCAGCATTTTGCTACCGGCAGTTCTTCCCGAACCCATATGAGGATGAAGGTAATGTAGTCCGCATTTTCTTATATAACGTTTCCTTGTTGTCACTAGAGTTATTATGCAATGTTACTGCATCCCATTTGATCAGTTCAGTTGGAAATATGTTTCATCATTCCATTTCATCCAGTCCCTGCTAACTCTTTTGTCTCTGAAGTTGATAGCCTGATAAAGAAGTGTGAAGTCACTTTGGTTTTCAGAAGCCTCAATTTCCTTGAAGAACTTGAAAATATTTATTTTTGTCTGTTTTGCCAATTATTTCAATGTCCCTGCTGAATCCACATTCATCACAAGTTATCTGTCTCCTCACTTTAGGATGGGGCCCGTATGCTTATTTTGATGCATTACTGGAGGAGACAAATGCCAACAGAGAGGCTGCCCAGACCACAAATGCACTTAATGTGCGGAACATGGAGGTACAAGTTGGGAATCAAACGCCTGGATCAAATGGTGATAACTTTTCATCACCACCTTTGGTTTCTCAACCAATCTCCAGATTAGATGATATCGAATTAGGAAGGAGTTGAAGCTGCATGTATATCTCCTGTTCTTGATTAGCATGTACATTTAAGGAAGTATACGACAACATTATGTAACTCAACCATATATTCTTGTTTAGCAAATTAAATAGGATCATAATGTTTGATTTTCGTGAATGCAAGAGTGATTTCTGGTTGATTTCTAGTTTAGCCTACTTAGTGTTAGATGTCAAGTCAAGATTAGATTTTTTATGCTTTCTCCTACCAATTTCTCAAAAAAAAAAAATTATGCAAATGGAATGATAACTGAATTGATATATGTGAATTTAGTTTAATTTGATATTATATTTTATCTTTTTTTGGAATAAAAAAACAATTTGTCATATATTGATAATGATAATAATATATAATGCTGATCTACATTTTTAATTTTAAGATAAGCAGAGCATTCGAGTATTTGATTCATTAATCGATTATAAAAAATAAAATTTAAATATTTTCTCCTTCAATTATAAAAAAAAATACTTTAAAATAAACAGAAGACTTATTTCAACCATAAACTAAAGATTGATGTCATTGTCCCCATTTGTGGGATTTAATTGGTGTTAGTGATTAGTTTGTCATTAAATTATTGTACGAAATATAATAATTAATTATAACCATAGCTTTTACTTGTATTTACAATTTGAGAAAAAAGATTGATGACAAAAGGACTAGATTGGGCAAAGAAGTGACCCTGTTGTGGTGGGTGTGGGGGCACCCATTTCTGAAGTGACACCAAGCCTTTTTAATTGGATGTAACTAGGGCTATTTCATGACATCGGTTTCTGTCACTGTGGAATTCAAGTGGGAAAATTATGTTCCCCGCAATTTTCTTTCGTTAATCAATGGAGTCACATGCCCAACGATGATATCCTAACAGAGCAACTGTCCAAATGCATTTTTTCAACGATGATGGCAGCGTGTAATCATGTACAGCGTAATGGCCCAAGACTTATTTTGATTTGATACATCAACTTAATCTCCTACTTTTTATTAATTAATTAATAAATAAAATCAGATAATCTTTGCTTTCGTGCTGTCATTAATTTAAATGTTGTTGGGCCTCTGCTGGGTTGATTTGGCTCCACTTCTTTCATAATAATTATAATCTTCTCTGTTAATTGCCCATTAAGAAACTCAAATCGCTGCATATCCTTACGCTGACATGCAATGATGGAGTCAGTTCAACGTGAAAGGGGTCAGTACGTGAAGTGAATAAAAAAACTCAATAAAAAAAATTGAATGTGAATAAAATATAAGTTTTAAATAAAATTTTATGAATTATTGAGAAAAATGAGATTTCGGATGAATGCTATTTAAATTCAAATTGACTACTTAATGAGAAAAAAAAAAGTCAAATGGCATGCTTTAACAAGTTTTCATTTGTCTTATGGAATCTAACAAATATTGAAACTCAGCTTTCTCATCAGATAACATTAAAACAAGTCGTGGATAAGACTTAAACTTAATATCACGTAACGTGGACAGGCATGATTCTAACAATAGAACTAATCACTTAACAACTACTCTATCAACATAAAAGAAAGGATAGTCAGCCACTCTGGCTTGTATGTGTTAATTCCATTTGAAGGAGGAGGAAAAGTAATCAAACTTTTTTAATCAGGCTTGTATTTTCAGTCCACAAACCAGTGTGCCTTGTTAGGTTGCCACCACATTCTAGTTTTTTTTTTCTTCATATTTTTCGCTTGGAGATGTAAATGAGTTACTATTATATGGATATATACAAATACTCGACTCAATAACATAAAGTTTGAATAAATTTTATATGTTATTTTTAAAATATCTTAATCTCTAAGTCGAATATAAATATAAATATACATATATTTTAACATTATAAATAATATTTCAAAATTTAAAATTAAGGTAAGAAAAGAAAAGGGGCAAGTCCAGCAAGGCAAGAACAAGCAAAAAATGCAAGGGATGTTTAACAATGGCCTCAAAGGCACAGTCGCTCATTTATTATGTTGAGTTGTTGAACAGAACTTGTATCAATATTCGTTTTAAAATTAAGAATAAAAATTCTAACAACAAAACCTTTTTGATATTATTTTTTTTATAATTAGTAGACGAATGATTCGAATTCTACTGTTTAGGTAAATGGATAATGTATCAACTAATAAGTCAAATGATGGGATGTAACTTTTTTTTAATATTATTTGCTTAATTAAATTTTCATTTTCTAAAGGGATTATTTAAATATTGCGTGAGGATTTATGAGTGATGCAAGCAAGGCAATGATTTTACTCTTCAATCTGAAAATATTTCCTACTTGAGAAAAATTCCAGCCAACCATAGTTTAAGCTTTGATTTCATTTCCTTCCCTTCCCTTCCCTTACACCTTTTTGTGAGTGCTAAGCAAAAATTATGAAAAGTCAAAGCTCTTTTCATTACTTATTCTGAAAAGAGAGAAAAATGTATAAAGAATTCAACAAAAGTCATTAATGTGAACGGACGATTAGGTTGGGCAATAAGGAGACACAACAATCATTTTAGTGTATGAACCATTAAATGGAAAATGACTCTGTGTGTAGAGAATTTTATCTTTTTTTTTTTGTAAATTAGAGAAAATTTAAAGAAATTAAATCTTAAAATATTAATAAAGTTTTTCATTTTTTGGTAATAATAAACGTTTTTATTCATTCAATAATTAAATATTAATTGCTCATTTTAGTAGATTTAACATTTATTAAATTTTTCATTTTTGAATTTAACCAATTATTTCTTTTAAATTAAAATGTATTTTTTTTTCAATTTTATCCCATTAAAACAATTTAATAACAAAAGTTAATCATTACCATTAATTAAACTAACACATGCAAATGTGCTTTTCAAAAAAAAAAAAAAGCAGATGCAAATGCATATTTCTTAAGGGTTTCCTTTATGTGCCAATTGTCAATTCCAAACACTTTAATCACTTATTTTATTTAAATAAGTAAAATTGAAAATTTTAATGTACTTTTATTTAAAAAAAATTTCAAATAAGGATTTAATCATAATAAAAATGTACGAGTACTTATTATTTCTTTTGATTTATGGGGACTCCTTTTGCAAGCACAAGCCCTGGCCAAACTCATCAAAGTTAATCATGCTAAGTACAATAAATGACTGACCATCAAATGAAATGCTTGAAAAGGAAATCACTAAAATAAATAAATAAAGGTATAATATTAAAAAAAGCTTTTAAATTATTTAAAAAAATTAAAATAAATTTTAAAATTTTTATCATATTTTATTAAACTTTTATATTTTTACTTTGAGTAAAATAAATTTTTATAATTAATAATTAACTAATTATTATTAATCAGTTAAAATATTATTTATTATTTTATATACAGTTAACGTGAATGACTAAAAATATTACATAAAAATAATTTAAAATTTTTTTAAAATATTATTTATAAGTAAGTAACGTCTTTTCCTCCTCCCATTCTCATTTTAAATGCTGTAAAACATGCTAAAGTTGTAGAGTTGGTAAAAGGTAACAAAGTGGCTCAGTTAAAACTGAACTTAATTTTGACTCTTTAAAATGTCAACAACATCAACCCGAACAACTTGAAATCTAAAGTGATCTTAACTCAAAGAAATTGAATTTAAAGTGATCATAATTTTTATTCTTTTTTAGTTTAAACTTTTAATTCACGGTAAATATAATACAAATTAATTATAAATAAAAGTGACTTAAAATTGGTTTGGTTTTAACTAAAAGGACAACCATTCCAACCTTGAATTTAAATATAAAATTACTTAGAATAATGTGATTCCAACTTTGAATTTATTTATCAATGTAATGAATATAGGTTTGCGGTAATTGAATCTTCATAAATTGCTTTGATTGTCCACTTTTTCTCATCGTTTCTTCTTTATTGAACTATTTTGTTCATATTTTACATTTTTTAAAAAATTTTTCATTGTGCATTTTAATTTCTTAAAGTGATATTCACTCCCTTCACAGCCACTATGTTCAAACCCAATTCATTTATTAAATAATCCAAAATATTTTGCTCAAATCCATCCATTAATCTTTAACAAAATAAACATAAACAAACTTAAATCGAGCGGGTCGACTCAACAACAGAGTCATTAACACCTTTAACCGAAAGGTCAATGGCCAACAGCTGTTGGCTAGAGGAGGCAAGTCTGCTCAATTATCTTGATTTTATTTATAAAGTAATTTAGTTTTAATAAAAAACACAAAAGAATTTTACAACAACTTGGTTTCTTTTTGTACTCTTTCTGCCTCCATCTGGGCGAGGTTCAATTCGTCCTCGATTTTGACGCCATTTTTTCAAAATTTAATGCTGCGAGTAACAGAGAGAGCAGAAGGAAAAGAGAAGAAAGACCTTCCCAGAATAATTCTAAGAAAGGAAAGGAACCTTCTCTGTACAGTATCCTCCGCCGATAATAGAAAAACAAAGTATCCTCCGCTCAGAATAGAAAAACAAAGTATAAATCCTAAACGCGCTTTTCATTTTGCTGTAACTCTGTTCGTCTCTCAGATCGGTACTTTTCACGAGTTCAAAATTTCCGAGGGGTTAGTTCATACTCTCAAACGGTTTCTTGATAGATCAGCTGACTTTTACTTTCATCTTCCTTTTTCCTCTTGCGGTTTTTTGTTTGGTTCTTGTGAAATTGGAGGCAACTGAAGGGAAAGAGACAGGTGAATACGAAAACGGAATTTGTTGTTTTACTTCTCTCAATTGAAAGTAGTTGAGTAGGAGCGTTTGTTCGTTTGTTGCTTTTCTTTTTGGTCTGTTTTCTTTATTGTTTTGGATTTTTCCTTTCAAATTTTTAGCTGCGGAAAAAAGTGCGTATATGAAAGAACTGCTCGAGCAGAATCTTGATTTGTGTTATTCTCTCGGAATTTTTTACAATCGATTAATTTCAAGGCAATAACCTTTTGATGTTCGGACTAAAATGGAATCTGCACACGAAAGTAGGAGGCACTTTTTGTTAAAATTTTATTTTCCTTTCTTAAAGAGCTTCTTTCTAGTTAAGCAATTTGCATGTCTAGTAATAATGAAGAGTTTGGCTGAATCCGTTACTCCTTAACTGTTGTTTTTTTCCCCGTTGCCGAGCAAGTCCAAAGCTGTGATCTTTGTTTCACCGGCTGAAAAAGGTATCCCCGCGGTCAAACAGCTTGCTTTGCAATTGTTGGATGGTGGTGTTTGCTCTAATTAGCAGGACTTCAGATTTCTGAGGGTCCTTTTTGCAAGAGGGACATCAGTTTGTAGAAATGTCCGAAGCGGAGTGTCTTTTACTTGGTAACCAACGTTGAACTGTGCCTGACAACCTCTAGTTACCTTCCTCCTTTTCATTCTCCTTCATCCTCTTGAGCGGATCCTATTTCATTTAGATAAATGTTTCCTTGTGTCAGTTGCTTCTGTTTACATGATATAGTTTTAGTATCAAGATAACTTCATCTTTAGATAGTTCCTACATTGGAAAATCTGTCATGTTCTGAAATTGCCATGGTGTTATAATCTGTAAAGGTAATGGTCAAGAAACAAATCCAAAGACTCTAGAGAGCCAAACCGGAAGGCAAGTTGCTCCCACTTCGTAATATCTGAACTTGACTTCTGGTTATGTTCATAAGCATGTGCTGCATGTTCTATTTAATCGTTAAGACCTGGTGAAACTAACTTTTCTGTGGGGCCGATCTCTGGTATATGCATGTGCAATAACTAGTATCATCATCCTTTGCTTATTTAGCTGTATTTCAATTATAAGGGGGAATCCATGATAGATGTTGAATTTTCTCCCCTGTTTTCAATTCCCCTTACTACATACATGGAAAACTATGGGCTTGCCTATTCAGACAATTTTTTCGGTCAAGTCCTTCTCTTATGCTCTGGGATCTATCTGGTGTGGTTGTATCCTAACATTTTTCATGATTTACGTTGTACTCAGTTATTGTTGTTAGTGGACTTGCACTTGATTTCTCTTCTGCACTGCAACCCAACAATGTTTTGAGGCTCCTTTACAGTTCTGTGCAAGAGGAAAGCTCCACTGATTTAATAGACATCTAGGTTGGGTCACTAGTGGTCAGTTTCCTCCCTATACTAGGACCATTGGCTTGTGATTTGTACAAAACTATCAATTGTTTACTTCTTCATCATCTTGAAGAGACATTATATATCCACTGAACAAATGTACTTTCTACACCCTCAAAATTTCATTTTACAGTTACGGACCGGAAGCATATGAAGAACGAAGGTTTTTTCCTGTTTCTTCTATGTTCTGCTTTGATTTAAATAAATTTATTTTGCTTCATTTTCATTTTTTATATAAATCCCATTGTACTATAAGTTATGAATTTTACTTCTTTCCAATGTTCCAATGCTTCGATTACATTTTATGAGATCCTAAGAAATATTCTTATATTATTTGATCATTACTTCCTGCAAAATTAGCATTTTTGTTGTTGTAGGTAGTAAATGGTGTGCTATTACTGTGACTGCTCATGCTCATGGGTCTTGTTTTTCTGTTTGCTGTCTTGGAAATTGTAGTTTTTACTGTATTCTTGCATCATCCTTTTCTTTTGTCATGGCACATAATTTCTTTTTGTTTCCACATATTAATCCCTTCGTATGTTTTACAATCAGTGAAAATGCCAGAGATTCAGTTGGGTGCTCACACTGTAAGATCCCATGGGGTTAAAGTTGCAAGGGCCCACATGCATGACTGGCTCATTCTTTTGCTTCTTATTGTGATAGACGTCATTTTAAATGTTATAGAACCATTTCATCGCTTTGTTGGAGAGGATATGATGACTGACCTGGAATACCCCTTGAAAGACAATACTGTTCCTTTTTGGGCTGTTCCTGTATGTTCTAGCTATGAGATTTGCTGTCATACTGGATTTACTTTCTGGCAAGAGAATTTTTCAGATTCACTTCAATGACAGTACTAAAGTATAGTTCTTATCTTCTGGCTTGTAACAGATTATCGCAATTATACTGCCCTTTTCAGTCATTCTTGTCTATTATTTCATCAGAAGGGATGTTTATGATCTACACCATGCCATACTGGGTAACGCTATATTTTCCGTGAGAGTTTGGAAGTCTAGCACCTTTTGTTTGTATGTAATTGCATTTTGTAACAGTTGGTTTTTTGCATTGATACTTAGGCCTTCTGTTTTCTGTGCTTATCACTGGTGTTATAACTGATGCTATTAAAGATGCTGTTGGTCGACCTCGTCCAGACTTCTTTTGGCGTTGTTTCCCTGATGGGAAAGGGGTTAGCCTTCAATTTTCCCTAATTTCAGTTTTATTTAAGTTTACATGGTGACGAGTCTTGATCAGTCCTGTACTCTGTCAACATGCAATTGGTGCATCACACATGCAGGTGTTTGACCCTGTGACAAAGGATGTTGTGTGTACTGGATTACAGAGTGTCATCAAGGAAGGACACAAAAGTTTCCCCAGTGGTCACACTTCATGTAAGCAGTCTAATCATTTCCAGCATTATGGCTTATTTGCCTGAGTTGTGGTCCTCTACTTGTGATTGGAGATTGCACTTTATACGTGTATGTCTATCTGCATGTATCTGTGGTGCACCAACCTTCCCACCTCTAGGTAGACTTTGACATTAATTTTTTCTTTTTGATGAGAACATTCAAATACTTTGGCTATTATGATACTATAATAAGCATAAAAACACATTTGTTAACCGTCTTTACCTTCCTCTCTTTACTTCTTTTTGATTCTTTTTTGGGAAAACACCACCTATAAGCTTGTGGTTTCAATATTTCCAGCATTGCACCATGTGATTTCTTTTTTCTCAATTAACACCTTGTGGATAAGTTCTACTTCCCTAGGGGGATGCACCATTAATTTGTCTAGCAAAATTACAAAAATACTGTTAAGTGTGAACAAATAGTTAACTTTTGAATTTAGGCAATTTTGGAAATTTTATTGGGTGAAATCAATGATTGAACCTCCTATGGGAACAAAACTTATTCACAAGGTACTAATTGGGAAAAAATTTACAGGGTGCCATATAGAAAAATTTGAAACCACAAGGGGTGTGGATAGAGTTTACCCTTCATTTTTGGCCTGGCAATGCGATCAACCAATACTATTTTAAGTGATTTATTACAATTACCTGTGAAACAGTTTGATTGTTATTCAGCAGCACTTCTGTGTCCCTGTAAACCATGTGGGGAATTCTAATAAGAAGAGCATTGAAATGCTTACTTCTACTGTGGTTATAGTTGAGATGTGTGTTTTAGATCTTGAAATTTGAGGGAACTGTATTGAAGAACAGTAGCACGACCTTTGTACTCTGTAGGTTGATTGATGTCATGTTGCGCCATTGTACTTTATATGGAACAATATCCTCAGGAAGCTCTTAAAAAATGAAAAGGTCTTTTTTTATAAGTTTCCCTCGTCTTCTTTGGTTTACGCCTCTATCTTCTCACACAAACAGCTCGAATAAGTCATTTCTTAAGGAATACCTGTAAGCTTCCCTTAACAATGCCCTCACCACCTTAAACATTTCTCCCTCATTTTCGCCATCATTTGGTGTGCCCTGCCTTTTCTTCAATGCACTTTATTTGTTATCTTTTCTGTTCTTGTAGACCAGACATCTGTTACAGCATCCTTTTTAACATAGATGTTGCATTAAAAGGAAAGCAAAATTATGATTGCCAATAATAGAATCTGGGTGTGCCTTTTGTCTCTTTCAACGTGGTTGTACTTTACCAGTTACTGAGATTGTAAACATAACTGTATTTTTTAGATAAATAGGACTAAATAGTTGAAAATACCAAAATGAAAATAAGAAGATTTTCTGTCGGTATTTATATATGTTATTACCAGAAGTTACTCGTGCTTTAGTGAAATTGGATTTTTATTGGATAGAGAGTATAACTAAGTTTGTAGAAGACTAAAGTTTCAGTGGATCAAAGTTAAGTTGAACTATCTAAATATATCATAGAATGGATGAAGTATGAGGTTTCGGTGCTATCACATAATATTTTTATTCTTATTCTCTGTTTTAACTTGTTTTCTTTTGTTCATCTGCAAATTGATTCTTGGGTATGCATACAAGCGTGTTGGTTTAAACATGAGCTCTCCTATTAGTTCTTATGGATTTGCATTTATTTACCTTGAGCAGGGACAAATCTAGAAATTCCATTGGGGAGCTGAGATATATATGAATATATATGGAACTAACGAAGTGAAAGTGAAAGTAGTTAACATAATTAGTGTAAAATTCTCACTCTTTTAACTTTTAGTTATAATTCTACGTGAGTCTATTAGTTTTCAAAATGAACAGTCCGTCCTAAAAGTGTAAACACCTTTAATAGAAAATATTAAAAGATTAAAATGTTCTTTTTTTTTATTAATTTTAAAGATTATTATTATATAATTTTTTTTTACAAAAAAAAAAAGGGAGCATCGATCTCCCTAATAGAGCGGAGCACCGATCAGTGCTCCCTAAGGGAGGGAGCACTAGATCTGGTGCTCCCCAGCAGAGGGTGTAGTGATTGTTGAGGAGCACTGAATTTTTTTTTTTTTTGCAAAATTTAAAAATAGTAATTTTTAAAATTTATAAAGAATAAAATTGTTTTTTCAATATTGTCACGTCATGAAACTAATGGAAGCACTAACGGCTAGATCTATGTGTTTAGCGGAAGATTTTTTTTAAGATGGAGTGTTCATTTCGAAAATTAATAAATCTGTCTGGAATTTCAATTAAAAGTTAAAGGGGTCTAGGTATTTTACCCTAATAATTAGTATCAAAACATTTATCATATTGATTGAAAAGGATTTATAACAAAAAAAAAATCATATGGAACAATACTTAGATAAAAAAACTAAGATAATCAAGTTAACAATAAGGCTTAAAACTAAAAAGGTTAATAAATTTGTCATATTAATCTACAAATTTTATGAAAGGGTGTGGGCAGGTGGGGACAGAATTTTACGTTTTTTGTGGCTGAGAAAAGTATAAATTCATGGGATTCTCCCCCCCCTTCCACCTGATTCTCCCGAGTTTAAGTTTATTGCCCAACCAGGAAAATGATTTGGAGGCACTTTGTTATTTGACTTGCAGGGTCCTTTGCAGGTCTTGGTTTCCTTGCATTGTACTTGTCTGGAAAAATTCGGGTATTTGATCGCAGGGGCCATGTTGCGAAGCTATGTATTGTCTTCCTACCATTACTTTTTGCTGCTTTAGTGGGAATTTCTCGAGTTGATGACTATTGGCATCATTGGCAAGACGTATTTGCTGGGGGACTTTTAGGTTTGTCTCTTGGGCTCTTCTTTCTTTATTTATGTTTTCTAATTCTCTGTTCATATTCCTAAATTCTCACAAGTCCTTTGCCCTTTGGGTTGCTACCTCTTGTTACAGGAATAACAGTTTCATCATTTTGTTACTTGCAATTCTTTCCACCCCCGTATGATGTAGAAGGTATGTTCCTTAGGGCTCTTTTCTCAACTTCTATTGCTGTGGCTTTTTCCCCCATTCTTACATTCGTAAATTAACATCGATACATGTCATCAATAGAAATCTACTGAGCATAAAGGTTGTATGTCCCTCACTGCACTTTTCAAGCACTGCTTTCTTTCCGGCCTTATAACATTTCTGCACCACTGGATTGAATATTTCTGCTCTGTTTCTTAAAATGGTGGAAGGACAATTAAATATCATTTCCCTCAATCCTGGGTCATGCGGCTGGACTGCAGGAAGAAAGGGGAAAATGAGGACGAAGAGGAGTAGGTTAAGGAGAGAGAGAGAGAGGGAAAATTGGCAATATGAAGAAACCCCCGTTTATGCTTCCATTACCTGCTTGTTATACCACCAAACATAAGTGTTAAAATTTTGGTCAAAAGTAGTTTCCACTTGCTTGATGCCATTGGGTTCATAGGATGACACCGGTCACCACTTATCTTCTTACAAAATTTTCAACTGTCATTGTCCTTCCAACTCCCTGGACAGCTTTTAGCAGTGTGCAGTGCGGGCAGATAAAAGGAATCATCACATTGTTGTCACTGTTTTTTCTGCTGTCATGTATTTTAATAGCTAGGGTTCTTTGTTATTTGGCCTATATATAACGTACTTACTAAGAAAAACAAAGATCATACAATGTAACTTCATTTTAATTTAAACGTTTGTTTCTGAGTTTCTTATTTGTTCATAATGGACTGTGCAGGCTGGGGACCTCATGCGTATTTTCAGATGTTGGCGGAGTCTCAAAACGGCAATCCATCCAACGGCATCAATGGTCAAAATGTACAACAATCAGAGCTGGAGAGTGTATATGTGGAGTCGCAGCGCGGCAGGGAACTATCAAGAGCCAATACTCATGACTCTAGCCCTATTCTCGATGGAATGAATGACGGAAGGAGGTATTGATTGTTGAATTTAGACTATGTAGAGAAGAATAGACATAATCAACAGATGTCCATAGTCTTTGACATTAGAACAGTGTTTTGCTGTACACACGTTAGACATTCAATATGGATTTCCTTCTCCTTAAGTGAAATTTGTTGATTCATTTCAAGAATATGTGTTGATGAAGAGAACGTGATGGCTTTATTCACGATTGAATCAAACCATACGATGCCACCATCCCCTCTTCCCCTCTATGACCATAATTAACTTGGAGGGCACCCAGGCGAGCTAAGAAGTAGGTATTGGATGAACTCGGCTTACCTAATATCAAAGTATGATTGAAATAGCTTTGTGAATACTCTTATTACTAGTATTGTAATTTCCCCCATTTTTAGTTTTTTCGCATTTTCTTTTCTCTTCCCATTTCCTCTATTTTTTTTAAGAATAATATGCAAAAGGAAAAAAAAAATATAAGTGTTTAATATTGGAAGGAACATTTATTTGAATAAAAATATAATTATTGGAATCTATAAAGTCAATGTTAATTATGATTTGAATGCAAAAGTTCAATGTAATTGTTACAAAATTTTTCAAAATGATGTTCCATTAAATTATGATGACATAATACTAACAAAATCTTCAATTATGTAAGAAAATTTATTTTTTTTTAATTTTTTTTATGTTCAATCAAGATCTTGTATTTTTATTTTCGATAAAATAGCTTTTTATGATTAACGGTTAATTTGTTATTGATCAAAATATTATTTATCATTTTATATCATATAATGTTATTTAACATATTGACATATTACAATATACAGTGATATAGCATGTTGCAGTAATATGACTACTTGATATTTTTCAGTCACTATATCAATGCAATATAAACATAAAATGACTAAAGATATTATAACTAATTACCATTAATCAATCAAAGTATAAGAATTTAATTAAATGTAAAAAATATAAAATTTTATTTAAATTTTTTTAAAATAATTTAAATTTTTTTAAAAATATTATTTACATATATTAAAAGTTATTATAAGAAAAAAGCAATTGTTCTCGATCAGAGGCCCATGTCATTGATTTTGACTTGAATTTTAGAATACAGACGATATTTTATAACCCTTTTCCCTCCAAGTTTCTCCACTCTCTCTCTTTTTGCTTTCTCCGTCTTTCCTTTGGAATTTTCCCTGCCCCCTCTAGGTTTCATCACCTTTTCTCTTCTTTTACTTTCTCCATCTTCTGATCTTTTTATTTTTTTTTCTCTTTTTTCATTACTCTTTTTTTTTGATTTGTTTGTTTATTTTGGTGCCTTATTTTTCATTTTGTTTTCTCCATTCTTTTCATTTTCATTTTCATTTTCATCACCTTTGGTGTTTTGCTGGCTTCCTTTGTTTGACACCACCAACTGAGGTTGAAATTTTTAATTTTCTGTCTGGGGATTGTCTGTGTAATGCATGGTAAAAATTATATGAATAAATAATGACTCTTTGTGCATACAGATGAATAGATAATAAATTATCAGTTTTTCTCTTCATCGCTTTCTTTGTCATTTTCTTAGTCTTCTTCTTTTGTTTCTTTTTATTTTCTCTTTGTGAATTCAATATTTTATATTCTATATTTTACAAAATCTAGAATTTAAATTTAATATGGTTTAGCATTGGCAACAGTATGTTATGTCTTGACAGTAGATTCATATTATTTTCCAGAGTCTCGGAAATTGTTTGTCACTTTTTTTTATTAGTTTTTCTCTTCATCATTTTCTTAGTCTTCTTCTTTTGTTTCTTTTTTATTTTCTCGACTTACTTATTTTTAGAATCTCATTTCCAATTATTTTAATATATTTGTAATTTTTGTTTTCATTTTAATTTTCTTGTGTGTAACTTATACATATATTTATTTACTTAATTTTCCATCTTTCTTTATTGTTAACAAGAGAAACAACACCATTTTTGAATTCCACACTCATGTAGATATATTCCACCACTGAATTTGGTTGCATTTTTGAAATAAATTCTGAAATTTTATACAAGCCACCAACTTAGAGATATATACATTTGGTGGATTACAAAAGTTTGTACGTAAAACACTTTGGTTGTAGATGATTACTGCCATAAACCAATCAATTTAATTTAATATAATTGCCTTCCTCTATGTATATCACTATGTTTAATGCAATGTCTTCTTGCAAAGGCTTCCAACCTTAAAAAACAATTGTTTTGGCACATATTATGGTAATTGCTATCAAACAAAAATCATACTCTATTGTTTCCCTTGCCTTCTCATAACGTGAAATTTGCCCTTAGGCAATGTGCGGGGAATCCTCTAGTGTCTATTATAATTTCTTTTTCTGCTTCCTTTTCTTTTTCATTTCTTCTACAAACTACAAAGAAGAAAAGATCTTTCTCCTCAATAACTTTCTTCTTCTACAAATCCTGTACTACAGAACTACAAAGTAAGCATATAAATAAAAAGACAAGGAGATTTCTCCGCAACTATCTCAGCTGTTTCGAAGTTATGAAGAATTTGGGTATTATAGTTTAGTCTTAGTCAGTTGTTCAGGTGATCATTGGAGGACTTACTCACATAATTTTCCTCCATCATGTACTTATTATACAGCTTTATGGATTAATGATAATCTCTTTTTGTTGATATTAAAATTGCTTTTCTTGTTTCCAGTAGCTAGCTTTTGTAATGAGGTTGGAGAATGGGATTTAGAACTACTTATGCATGTTCTGCCCCAAAACATAGCTCTTATGGTAGCTGCGGTTTGGGTTGATTGCTCCTGTTTAGAGCAAGATTCAATTTACTGGACCCTAACAAGCAGTGGTGATTTTTCTGTCAAGTCTGCTAATGAGATGATACAATGTGATGCTGTTGTTCCTGAAGATTGTTACTGGAAAAAGATTTGGCAGCTTAAATCGTCTAGCAAGGTGAAACTTTTTATTTGGAGAATTCTTCATAACTCATTATCAACTTCGGCTTGGCTAGTAAAGAGAAAGCTGTATTATTGAGCAGTTTGCTCGCGTTGTCGTTTGGCTAGTGGGACATTGATTCATGCTTTGCGAGATTGTAGAAAGTCCAAAGAATTGTGGCCTCAGCTTAATCCAGGTCTGTCCAGTGATGTCTTTATGGAATTAAATATTCAACAATGGGTAGTAAAAAATATGTTAGGTTCTTTGAGGACTGATGTTTTACCATGAAGCTCAATTTTCATTCACTCTGTGGTATATTTGGCATTGGTGAAATTCTCTTTTGTTTGATAATTCTTTTTTTGGCCTTCAAATGCATTTCAACTTATTTGGTCAATTGAGGGCTAAGGAGGCTTGGGATGTTCTATATCATGATACTTTTAGTCTGAAGCCTGAGAAGTTGATTTAGCTGGGACAAGCCAAAGATCTCTTTTGTCAAACTTCATGTAGATGGTAGTGCTAAAGGCCAACCAGGAGTTGCAGTCGCTGGAGGAATTATTAGGGATGAAAATGGCGTATGGCTAGCTGGTTTTGCGTATAATATTGGTATTTCTTTTTCACTCACAGCAGAAATATGGGTTTTGTTTCAAGGGTTGAAGTTATGTTGGAGTATAGGTCTTAGAAGAATGCAAGTTGAGTCAGACTCTTTGCTTGTGTTACAAAAATTGCAAGGCTGTATTTCTTCCAGGGATCCAAATTTTCATCTGCCAAAAGGTATTAAAGAGATGTTGCCAAGGCATTGGGACTGTTTCTTATCTCATCGTGAAGCCAATAACTATGTTGATTGGATGGCCACAAATCATGAGCACTTGACTTTAGGATTATATTTATTTGAATCACCTCCTGGTGGAATTCTACCTCTTTTATTTGCAGATGTATTAGTTGTTGCATGGATAGAATGATGTGATAAGTTGTTTCTTTATTTTCCCATATACATATATATATATATATATATATAAAATTGCTTTTCTTGTTGGACTGGCTGACATGGAAGAAAATGTAAGGCAGAATTGAGATTTAACTTGACTAATTCTGCTGTCAAAGAGAAGCCATGCATACTGTTTCCCTCATGCTCTAACAGAGAAAAGGTCTTTGGCTTTTCTTTTCTGTATTTTAGTTGATTAAAATTCTTTGGATATTTTCTGCCAACGTAAGAACAGAGTGTGCATCTGCTAGTTTTTATTTAATATTTTAGTCCTCACAAGAAGCACTGGACCCGGTACAACCATTCTCGCTGGTTTTAGTAAAATACAAACTTTTGACTGTTTAATTTGAGAAAAACCAAAAACAAAGATTGCTTGTTTGTAAGGATATAACTCATAAAATTTTTTTTCTAACTTCTTTAAATTAGGAGTTAGAGACAAAGTTTTGAATGCAAGTTAGGCATGGGCCACTTAATAACTTTAAAAACTTAAAACACGTATTGTGGAAATTGAGAAGAGATAAAAAAAAAATAAAGATTTATTAGGCATATAGTTAAGAAAGTGAGAGAATATGTCATTTTATTAATTATCTTGATTTTTATCTATTTTTAATGAAAAATGAGATAATTGGTTGAGAATTAATAATAGGGTAAGAAACATAAGAGAAAATAGATATTTGTTAAATACTTAATTTAAAAAATATTTTATTAATTATTTTAATTTATATATATTTTTAATATAATTAATTATATTATTATAAAATTATGAGATTTATGAAAAATGGAGACCTAAAACAAGGCGCTTAGCTTCGATCAACGTAAGGGTTCTCACCCATGATAATTATACAAGGATGAGGATTACAAATTCGAAAGTCGAAACTACCAAAACCAAAAAAACTTAAAAACCACAAACTAAGGAAAAGATTGAACAATGTAACAAAAGATAAAGTGCTTCGAATCTTAAGTTTATACTAAGATTGAAACTTGATCGTGTAATCTTTAGTTGACTACTCTTCAACCACCTTGAAAATGCTCAACGTGGAGCTGATAAGCGTCCATGATCTCCTAAAATTTAGGACCTGCAAAAGAGAGACACGGGAAGAGAAAGGATATCAAGTAAGCTTTCTTGACATTATCCCTCCCAGGACACGACTCCCAGCTTTCTTCACTTGTTTTACGTAGCTTAGAATTGTTTTAGTCTTTTCTTAAGTCGTAAACTCGGTCCAACCTTACCCTTACTTATCTTTCTCACTCGATGCTTAAGCTTAAGAAGCA